GTTCACTCAAATTCTCGACTTCCATGTTATTCTCGTTCCGGGGCCTTCCCATGTCCCTGATTACGAATATTAAGTCGAAAATCCGCGAAAACCCGGCAATCCCCGTTCTGCAGATTGCGCGGGACTTCCCGGAGCGGTGATTGGTTGGGTGCGGTGCCCACGGATGGGCGGGACGAACTCACGCCCATTCAAAGGGGGGAGTCCATCTTCGAAGCGATTTCCACAGCAATTTTCTAGCAAGGGAAGCAAATCGTGGCGCCGCGAGTTGGGCAACTATACAGCTGGGGGTTTGCGAATGTTAGGCATCAAAATCTCATCGAACTCAATCTGGGTGGACGGCGCCTTTGAGCCTTGGCCCTAGTGACAGCTCATATGATTTTTTGCTGCTTTCAAATCGCTATCGAAGGACGTTGATTGTCTATGTGGAAAGGTCATGTTTTGGGTTGGAGATTACTACGAAATTGGTCATGAATAAATAATAGACTACTATTGGGTATTGGTTACCTAAGGCTTCCCAAATTATCCACGTAAGAGACCTAGGGACCCAGATTTGGATCTTGTCCTTCAGGCGAATCAGGATGAGATGAGTACCCTGATTTTCCTAAACTAGTGGAGCCGGTTCATTCTAAAAACTGCGTCTCGATAATATTTGGTAGCCCTTACCAAAAAGTAACATAAGCTTCCCGTTTTCTGCCTTTCGAAACAAATGAGATTTCAATCCTACACTCAAATGGTCCTTTTCATGGTCCCTCCTCGCAGAAGTCACCGAGAAAATGCAATAAAAAATTGGAACCTACTTTGGAAGTGTTTCTCCGAGCATGAGTGACGGCACACTGCAAGCATGTTCAACGACCTGCGAATCAGGCGAAGTTTATTTTAAAAAAATGCCCGATATTTTGAATTGAATTAGGTACCTGTAGCCCCCTCATAACATCTCCTTCAGCGTCAGGCAGAGTCTTTCCTTGCTCTTCAGTGATATTTTGAGCAAGTTTCTTCATGTCACGTTTGATCAAGCTTTGAAGTTTGAATAGAGTCTCCTGTCGATGTATTGGTGAGCTAAAATCTATCTTCTGAGCAAATGTTTGGGAAAATTACTTGTTCTGAGTATCTTACACTTTCTTCCACGATTCGAATGCACTCTTGCATGATTGAACTGCGGCTTCCATTTCTGCTTTTGTAGACTTTGGAATCCGAGCAATCACTTCGTTTGTGGCCTAAAACGCATCGGATAATGTACTTGTATAGCAAATGGGCTAAATTTAATTCGACTTACGGGATTGGTAAGGTCAAGCCAGTCGTTGGTCTTCGACTCAACTGGTTGGCCATCTATCCATAACTTCACAGTCTTGTCAGTAAATGTAGCGTTTGTAGTGGAGAACAACGCACATTGTTGCCCATATTTGATCTAAATTTAACTTCATCTACAAACAGCAATGTGTTTTTCATCAAAACAAAAAAATAAGCAGATGCGAAGTACTTGAAATCATGGTCGCTGTGTAGATTGTTGTTACCTTAGTTTGTTAATTTATATTTTTCTAGTTAAAAATGATTTATCTAATCCTTGTACTCCTTTATTTTGGGTTTAGTGCAATCGAGTATGACTAGAAGTAGAATGCGCTGACAATGGAAAAGGCTAGCTAAGGGTTTTCCAGTAAGTGTTGATCATATTTTATGGACGTCGCCTCTAATCCGTTAAGGTGGCCAGTAACTGTTCTTGACTTTGCATAAAATAAGCTGGAGTTGATATGATACATTGAATGAAGATGTTTTCTTTTGGGAAATTGCATACTAATAATCTCTTGCAGCCTATAAGAAGCATTATCAGCTCCTCTTCGTTAGCCGGAATGATTTCGGAGAGCAGCACAAAAATGAGCAAGAGCACGGCAAGGCAGCTAACTTAGAT